CCCTAAAAATGCACACCTCGCTTTATCTCACGGATATCCGTCTCCGGCGGTAAGGTCTCAACAAGTACGGAGCTAACACAAAAATTACCCATAAAAAGGTCGTGTGTGACCGACCTCAATCAGTTGTCCCTTGGGCACTGCCGTCACGCTCCCAGGTCATTAAGACCACCTCTAATCCAATTTCCTTTTCAGGTGCCTCCAGAACAACCCTTCCACGGTGTGAGCAACCGGGAAGCGATAACCGCCCTCATACCTCTAACAGCGCTCAAGACTGCTGTATTCATAATCAACCTCCGTCTTCACTTTTTATTACTCCTCCTACATCGACTTTCAACTCTAAACTTCCTTTTTCGGCTTTCTCTTCAAATGTCACCATAGCCAACGATTCTAGTGCTCTAAACTCTGTCCCAGGTCTACTGAAACCTCACACCCTATGTCAAATCGGTCAGCAGGCTTCCTTGGCTAGAACCCTAGAATCTCGTACCATTGATGTATGCTGTGTCTCTGAAACACGCATACAGGATCCCAGTGTGGTCATTCACTTGACCTCACCTCGGCAACACGGAGAGCCAACGAGATACACCCTCCGTGTATCTGGTGACGCGATGGCCAGCTCTCGTGAACTGGAAGGAGTAGGGATAGCACTAAACGTGAGGGCGGAACAAGCACTGTTAGAGTGGATCCCCGTGAACAGTCGCCTATGTGCTGTTCGGCTAAAAGGCTCCGTAAGAACTCGGAAGGATAGGGACACACGTCGTTGCCTTTTTGTCGTTTCTGCCTACGCTCCCACTGACTGCAGCTCAGATGAAGTGAAAGATGAATTTTACAGAAAGCTATCTGAACTTCAGAAAGCTAAACGTTCAGACATAGTACTCGTAGCAGGTGACTTTAATGCCCAGATAAGTAGTTTAAACCAAACAGAAAGGTATTTAGGTGGGTATTTTAGTATTCTGGCAAAACGAACAGATATTGGTGATCGTCTACTGCAAATGTGCTCAGACAATCGTTTATTTTTAGCAAACAAATTTTAAGCATAAGGAGAGACATCGTCTAACATGGCGACCCCCTACACCAAACCAACGATGGACTCAAATAGACCATATTGCCGTCAGTCATCGTTGGAGAGGGTCGGTACAAGATTGTCGCTCATTCTGGAGTACCTGATTGGACTCCGACCACGCCCTAATACGGGCACGCATCTGCTTGCGCCTCACTGGACGCAAAAAAGCCACATTAAAAAGACCCGTTAGAACTGATTTGAGTAACGAGAAAACCAAAAGTAGGTTCCAGGAACAACTGAGGTCACACTTAGGTAGTTGTGAAGACGAGGCTGACCCAGATGTTGCTTGGAAAGATATACAAACAGCTGTGGAAACAGCAGTGACATCTATTAGTGATTTAAACCACAGGGTTACAAAGAACCAATGGATTTCCTCTAGGTCTATTGCACTGATGGATTCTCGCAAACTCGTCCCATCAGGCTCTGAACATGATGAAGAGCGAGTACAAATCAAATCTAGGTTAATCAAACGTCTAATGGACGACTGTGAACAGTGGTGGGCAACGAAAGCAAAAGAGATGAAAAAGGCGGCGACTATAGGGAACACAAGACAGCTTTACAGACTAATAAAAGAAACTGAAATTAATAAGTCAACTGTAAGTCAGACTATTTCGGAAAAAGACGACACTCTCATCTGCTCCCAGTCCAGACGTTTAGAACGATGGGTGGAACATTTTAGAGAACATTTCAGCTGGACTTCGGCTACTCCACAACTACCCACCATTCCCAGACAGCCTGAATGGAACATTGAAGTAGGTCCCCCAACTCTAGCAGAAGTTCGAAAGACTATAGTTAGTCTGAAACGAGAAGGAGCAGCTGGTTCAGATGGATTGGCTCCAGAGGTCTTCAAGGATGGTGGTCCAATTCTAGCGATTAGGTTGACTAAGATTTTAGCTAAGATCTGGGAATTAGACTTTATCCCATCTGACTGGTCACAATCACTTATCGTCCCAATATATAAGAGAGGGTCAAAATCATCCTGTGACAACCATAGAGGGATTAGTTTAACTAATATAGTATCTAAAATACTAGCCTCGATAATTATCAGACGCTTAACTAAGACTCGTGAACTGCAAACACGAGAGAATTAAGCTGGCTTCAGACCTGGTCGTGCCTGCATCGACCACATATTCACCATTCGTCAGGTTCTAGAACACAGGCATACTTATCGGCGTCCGACAATGGTGGTCTTTCTTGACTTAAAAGCAGCATTTGACTCGGTAGACCGCGAGACTCTGTGGCAGTGTCTGTCATTGAAAGGCGTACCTCAGAAGTACATAAACCTTGTGAAGGCTCTTTACTCGAACACTACTAGTCGAGTCAGAGCTTATGGCGAACTGTCATCTACTTTTGCAACCTCAAGTGGTGTCCGTCAAGGCTGTCCACTTTCTCCATTTTTGTTTAACTTCATCATAGACCTATTGATGGAAATAACATTCTCGTCGACTGAATTCTCGGGTATTGATCTCCTTCCAGGAGGTCCACTTATCGACTTAGAATACGCAGATGACATAGTCCTGTTTGGTGAAGACGCTGACAAAATGCAGAGTCTTTTGGTAGCACTAAGCAACAATGCCAGGATGTTTGGAATGCGCTTCTCTCCCTCTAAATGCAAGTTGTTGCTTCAGGACTGGTCTGCGTCAACACCTGAACTAAGGATAGGGAGTGAAGTAGTCGAACGCGTTGACAACTTCACTTATCTTGGAAGTCTGATCAGCCCTAATGGGTTGGTGTCTGACGAAATCTCAGCACGGATTCGAAAAGCTCGCTTGGCTTTTGCCAACTTACGTCACCTTTGGCGAAGGCGAGATATCCGTCTATCAATAAAAGGACGAGTATACTGCGCGGCAGTCCGTTCTGTTTTAATTTACGGCAGCGAAACATGGCCATTAAGAGTAGAAGGCACTCGTAAGCTACTAGTATTTGACCACAGATGCCTCAGAAATATTGCTGGCGTCTGCTGGGATCACCGGGTAAGTAATAGTGAGGTTAGACGCAGGGTATTAGGGAAGGATGGTAAATCAGTCGATGAGGTTGTGAATTTTCATCGACTGAGATGGTTGGGTCACGTGTTACGTATGCCTGAACACCGATTACCACGACGCGCAATGCTGACTAGTTTTGGAGATGGTTGGAAGAAAGTTAGGGGCGGCCAGACTAAGACATGGCATCAGTGCTTGAAGTCACTAACTTCTGATCTGAGCAATGTTGGTAGATGCAGAATAATTGGTTGGGGTCGGCGTGACTGTCGTAGTTAGTGGTTGGAGACTCTTGGTGAGATGGCTCAGAATCGATCACAATGGCGTAGGTGTATATACTGTCTGTCTTCCCTTAAACTAAGCGATTAAAATTGCTTCATATCTTTCTTTCTACGTACTAATTCTTTCTTCCTGTACTATATCCTTATTGCAATCTTTCTTTTATATATTACCACCTCTGGATTGACCACTTTTATGAGTCTGGTGTCCATCTTGTTGTGTTAATGAGGTATGGCAACTTGGACCGATGCATAAATGTGCCTGGTCCTACGTTGTACCTGACTGACTGACCAATACTGGACCACCATCCTTGACGACCTCTGGAGTTAATCCATTTGGACCAACTGTTCTTCCTTACTTCATATTAGCTATAGCACTTTGAACTTCAGTCATCAATGTCCCATTAAGGGTGTTTGAAAATGGTGGGTATCTGAAATCCAGCTGAATTGCTCTTTAAAGTGTTCCGCTCATCCCTCTAAACGTCTAAACAGAGAGTAGATTTGAATGTCATCTTTTTCTGAGATTTTTTTTCACCTACACTTGACTTCCTAATTACGGTTTCTTTTGTTAGTCCTAAAAGCTGTCTTGTTACCTACAGCCGCTGCCTTCTCCATATGTTTTGCTTTCGTTGCTCACCACTGTTCACGATCGTTCCATGAACTTTTGGTTAACATAGATCTGATTTGTTTTCATTCTTTATCGTGTTCAGACCCTAATGGGATGAGTTTACGTGAATCTATCAGTTCAATAGACAGTTTTTCATGACCCTTTGGTTCAAATCACCAATAGATGTCACTGCTGTTTATACATCTTTCCAAGCAACATCTGGGCCAGTCTCGTTTTCAGAATCACCCAAATGTGATCTCGAGTTTTCCTGGAATTAGCCTTTGGCTTTCTCGTCGCTAAGTTCTTAATGTGGCTTTTCTACGTCCAATGAGGTACAAGTAAATGCGTGCTCGTATTAGAGAATGATCAGACGAGCGGCAGTCTTCTATCGAGCCTCTCCAACTATGACTGATGAAAACATGGTCTATTTCAGTCCATTGTTGATTTAGTGCATGAAGTTACCATGTTAGACAATGTCTCTTCTTATGCTTAGAATTATTGTTTGCTAAAAATAAACGATTGTCTGAACATAGTTACAGCAGAAGGTAAGCATTATCTGTTCACTGAGCAAGGATACTCAAATATCCATCTAAATGTCTTTCTGTTTGATTTAAGCTACCTACTTGGGCATTAAAGACACGTGCTACGAGTATTATGTCTGAGTGTCTAGCTTTATGAAGAAATGTAGAAAGCTTTCTGTAAAAGTTGTCTTTCACTTGATCCGGGCTGCAGTCAGTGGGAGCGTAGGCAGAAATGATAAAAAGTCAACGACGTGTGTCCCTCTTAATCCAAGTTCTTACGGAGCCTTTTAGCTGAACAGCACTTAGGGGACTGTTAACGGGGATCTATTCTAACAGAGTCCAGACTATCAGTAGCGTTCACACAATATTCGTGAATAGTAGCCTACATGTATACTTAGTTTGTTGTTTTCTAAGTTCAGAGTCTTTTTAGTAATATAACGGCTAATATTTTGAGGATTCACTTCATTGTCAGTTTTTGTTAGGTTAAAAGTTTTACATTTAATTTCTTTACTAGATAATCAATGTAAATATATTCCTTTTACAAATCTTACAGCCATGTTCTGGGAATCTGCTGCTGCATATTCACAGATCAACGATATTTTATCACGACCGGTATGTATCATCCATGGTCTTCCTTCTTACTTATTCCTATAGAATCTCACAATCAAAGAAGTTCTGGATGATGATGATGTTTTACAAAAATGTCGTGAAAAAGATCCACGTTTAATTAATTTGTAAGTTCTTATTCATCTATCTGGAATTACTCATAATTTCTTTCCTTAGTTTATCAAGGTCAGATAATTTGGATTATCTAATAGATTTAGTTAGTCGAACACCTAAATGTTCTAATTTCAATCGAGATTTGTATAGGTGAGTTCAATTATGATTATGTAGTCCTTGATAAGTCTTTTCTTGTCAATCCTATTTGTTTTTTTAACGCTGATAGTTTCATCTTTCCTGACCACAACATCCAACTAATGGGCTATGTACTTAAACCTTGCTACACTTGTTTGGTTCCCACCATCCAAGTGGTATCAACCGTTCTTACATTTTTGGTTCAAAGCCGAGTACATAAACACATCCTAAGCAAATGTTTCTGGTGACCGAGCGTTACTAAGGTTATATCGTATAGTGTTTTAAAGGTAGTTGTCCAGTAGTAACGACTTCAGTTTCGTGTCTCAATTAGTTAGCGCTTGTTTGTCTGTTTTACTAGAGGTGTTCTTTTCTCTTCCATTTCTAACAAAGAGCTCTTAGCTCCAGCTACGACCGTTTATAAACATTTGATGGTTTACGTTAACTTTGATCGTTGTTAAAAATACTCAGCTTAAAACATGTCAGGAGTCAACAAATTCAAAGATGAACTCACTTTACATGCTAAAAGATGGCTTAATAGTTTTTAGAGAGCTAGAAAGCTGACAAACTGATTTCTTTAATCATATCAATGTATTTACTTATTGAGATCGAGATAGCACAACAATATTTTGGTAAGTATACACATTATTAGGATTAAAGCAATCAGTTTGTTAGCTTCCTAACTTATTCATGTCGTTCTCCCGACCGAAGCTGCTACCTTGACGTGGTGGTCGGGCTTGCCTATCGTGATGACCCAACCGAGCTATATTGGCTGGAACATATGTTCCTGTAGGTCTTACCATGCCAGGCGGGTCGATTGGAGAACGGTAAGACTAAAAGCAGCAACTCAAGGTCTGAGGGCGAAGTCGTACTGCTGACTGTAGAGGGGTGTTACTGCAGTAAGGTGTTTCCCTCGGACAACCAGCATCTGAAGCGATGCCGCCTTCCCACAAGGATGGAAGGGGTAAGAAAAGGTCGACCCTAAAAATGTCAAACCTCAACTTACCTCACGGATTTCTGTCTCCGCCGGCCCTTCGAAGAACAAAGCTAACACAATTAAAAACCTTCCACGAGAAGGCCGTGCGCGACCGGCCTCAAGCAGTTGTCCCTTGGGCTCTGCGGTCACACTCCCAGGTCGTTAAGACCAACACTAATCCGACTTCGTTTTCAGGTTCTTCAAAAAACACACTTCCACAGTGTGAGCAGCTGGGAAGTGATATCACCCCTCATACCCGTAACAGCACACGAGACCAAATTGGCCACATTCAAATCCTTCCTGACTGACTGAATGTCGTTCACATGAATTTAATACGGATTGGTATTTGTACAATTGATCAAACTTGTTGATAAACCGAATGTGCATAATGCTTTTCAAGTAGAAGTCGATGTACGGGCGGGACTCGAATCTTTCAATATGAATACTATGGTACAGTACATCCAGTTGATAGGTCAAAAACAAGATGGAACACGCGTCTTAATTTACACTTCTCAGGTATACTTTGTACAAACACTATATTAACTGAGTTTACTAGTGTATGCTGACTAAAAAGCAAATAAGTAAAGTCAGTCAGTCAGTCAGTCAGTAACAACGTGGAACTTCGTACGTACGTACATCAGTTCGAGTTGCCATAACATATCAGCACAGAGATGCAGTTGTCGATTCAAATCTCGTAGTGGTAAAGGTAGTAAGGAAGATTGGTGTTTGGAGATGTTATTCAGGGAGTATAATACAGTGAAATAAATTTGGAAAGAGAAAGAAAGGGACATGAAGAATTCAGAAGATTAGAATTTGGGAGAACACAAAGAGTGGATGCATCTGCGCCACTGAAAATGATTTTGAGCCATATCATTTAACAGCTCTCACCATCGGTTGCTATCATCTCGTGGTCCCCAACCAGGTAGTCTACACCTACCAACATGACTCAGTCCACTTGTCAGTGACTTAATGGATTGTGCCTTTTGGTCTGGCGCCAAACATCCCGTCGGCAGTCGTCGTTGCATACGTAACAATGTCTCAGCCATCTCAACACTACTTCATCAATTGATTTGCCATCCTTACCTAGTGCCCGTTTCCTAACAACTGTGTTACTTACTCGATGGTCCCAGGATATACGAGCAATGTTTCTAAGACATCTATGATCGAATACTAGTAACCTACGAATATCCCCTACTCTTACCGGCCATGTTTCACTGCCATAAAGTAGGACGGAACGAACTGCTGCGTAGTAAACACGTCCTTTGTTTGGTAGACGGATATCTCGCCTACGCCATAAATGACGCATGTTGGCAAAAGCTAGACGAGCCTTCTGTATACGTGCTGAGATTTCATCACACACCAGACCACAAGGGCTGATGCCCCCAAATGCCCTAGTACGGCCGAGAGTGGGGAGAATCAGCTATCCCTCTCGAAATGCTCTCACATCGCCACGTGCATACAACCACTGCCAGGGAAAACCTACTCACTGCATTCTTGCGGAGGGGGTGGTTTTCACAAAATTGAGAGGACGAGAAGCAAATGCCCGGCGTTTTAACCGGGTTGGTGGACACGGAGAGACCACGTTGGGGAGTTGGAAAACACTGATTCCAAACCAATGGTGCACTGGGCTTCAGCGTCCTGAAGGAACAAATGGCCTATGAACCAATCGTTTGTCACTGGCTACCGTGCGACTGCATCTCCTTACGATGCTCCACTGCCTTGTGGATCAGACCTTTAGGTAGAAGGTTCCGGATGTGGTCCCCTAAGGAAACCACCTGCTTCGGTTCTGGCACCCAGGCAGTATCACAGCCCTCACACATATTAAATGAGATTTGTGTGGCGCATATGTATTTGGTGCCTTCTTGTACGAATATCTATGTATTAAAATAAATAGATAAATAGTCTGCTCTTCACGAGCTTTGGTTAAGCGTTGAAGTATTATTGGAGCTTATATTTTAGACACTATATTAGTCAAACTGATTCCTTTACGATTGTCACAAGAGGATTTTTGTCGTTTCTTACAGACTTTCACTCTGGAAACCGAAGTGTGGCTGAAGGCCAGTTGAACTGATCCCTAAAGTGTTCTGCCCATCGATCCAATCTCCTGGATTGAGAATGATAATATGTCCATCTTTCTCTGAGATTAATCCGTTTCCTTAAGTCCGGACAGTTGTCTGTTGTTACCTATTGCCACTGCCTTTTCCATCTCTCTTGCTTTCGCTACCCACCACTGTTCACGATCATTGCGTAGACTTCTTGTCGGCTTGCGCTTAAGCTGACTCCGCTTCTCGTTATGTTCAGAACCAGGTGGAATGAGTTTCCGAGCATCTATCAGTGCGATAGATGCTGCTGAGATCCAGTGTCCCTCCCTAACCTTACGGTTTATCGTACTTGCAGATATCACGGCTGTTTCCACAGCTTTTCGGATATCATTCCACACTGCCTCGGGGTGGGCATCACATACATGGCTGCCCAACTGTTTTTCTAGTTGTTCCTGAAATATACTCTTAGCTTGACTATCATTAAGTAGGACCCTAAGAGGTTTTCTTGCAGTGTCTTTCCTACGTCCAGTAAGACGCAGACAGATACGCGCTCGTACTAGAGCATGATCTGAATCTAGGCAAGTGCTCCAGAATGAGCGACAGTCTTCTATCGAGCCTCTCCATCGGTGGCTGATAGCGATGTGATCTATTTGGGTCCAACGTTGGGACGAATTAGGGGGTCGCCATATCAAAATATGTTTTTCCTCATGCTTAAAGTTAAAATTTGCAAGAAACAGGCGGTTATCTGAGCAAAACTGCAACAGACGGTCACCATTATCTGTCCTTTGAGCCACAATACTATAAGATCCACCCATGTGTCCTTCCCTTTCGCTTAGTTTACCTACTTGAGCATTAAAGTCACCGGCCACTATTACTACATCAGAGCGCCTAGCTTTTCGGAGAAGGTCCGAAAGCTTTCTGTAAAACTCATCTTTTACATCATCTGAGCTGCAGTCAGTGGGAGAATAGGCAGAGACGACGAAGAGGCAACGACGAGTGTCCCTATCTTTCCGAGTCCTTACTGTTCAGTTTAGTCGGACAGCGCACAAACGACTGTCTACTGGGATCCAGTCTAAGAGAGCTAGTTCTGCCCTAGGACTCAATGCTATACCTACGCCGGGGAGGCCACGGGAAGCAAAATCAGGGCTTCCAGATCCACGGATCGTAAATCGAGTCGGTTCTTCATTTGGGAAGGTTAGGTCAAATGAATGACGCTACTCGGATCCTGTATGTGCGTTTCGGAGACGCAGCACACATCGATGGCGCGAGATTCTAAAGTTTTAGCTAAGGAAGCCTGTTGTCCTATATGGCACAGTGTTCGGACGTTAAAAGCTCCTACGTGTAGTTTAGATCGTGGTTTCAGGAGACCAGGAACAACGTTCCGCGTACTGTAATCGTTTGCCCTAGCGGTGCGAGGTGATGAAGGGACGTGAGAAGGGTTAGTCGTGGAGATAAGAGATTTATTTGGAGGTGTAGGAGGGATTTGAATGTGACCAATTTGGTCTCGTGTGCTGTTACGGGTATGAGGGGTGATATCACTTCCCAGCTGCTCACACTGTGGAAGTGTATTTTTTGAAGAACCTGAAAAGGAAGTCGGATCAGTGTTGGTCTTAACGACCTAGGAGTGTGACCGCAGAGCCCAAGGGACAACTGCTTGAGGCCGGTCGCGCACGGCCTTCTCATGGAAGGTTTTTAATTGTGTTAGCTTTGTTCTTCGAAGGGCCGGCGGAGACAGAAATCCGTGAGGTAAGTTGAGGTTTGACATTTTTAGGGTCGACCTTTTCTTACCCCTTCCATCCTTGCGGGAAGGCGGCATCGCTTCAGATGCTGGTTGTCCGAGGGAAACACCTTACTGCAGTAACACCCCTCTACAGTCAGCAGTACGACTTCGCCCTCAGACCTTGAGTTGCTGCTTTTAGTCTTACCGTTCTCCAATCGACCCGCCTGGCATGGTAAGACCTACAGGAACATATGTTCCAGCCAATATAGCTCGGTTGGGTCATCACGATAGGCAAGCCCGACCACCACGTCAAGGTAGCAGCAGTTCGAAAGTAAATCTATTGCTGAATTAACGTCAGATAAGAGAGTCTTGAGCATTTGGTTTGTGTTGAGGGAAAATTTGTCAGCAGTGTGCACAAACAATTTTAACTACTGCAACGGTTACAACATCATTGACCAGTGTTTTCAGTAGTTCTCCAATGGTTGTTTTTCTATGATAAAGATTTAAAATTTGACATTTACTTTCAGTCATTGGTGATCAGAATGAAACGATAGTTAAGTAGTTTAAAGTTTAGTAATAAATTTGATCATTTGTTCGTTACTGTTGACTGCCTTAGAGTTGTATTGAGAGGGATGGGATAAACTTGAGAGTTTTATTTTCATGCAATTCAGTGATATCAGTTGATAATGTTTATATGTGCCATCCTGTTTTTTGCACTTAAATTTAATGCCGTTCGATTCTCTTTAGGTACATTTACATCGTTGGCATTCCTTATAAAAGAAGTGGATAGTTAATTTCTTGAAAGGAAAAGGTTATATTCGTTACACGTATGTTTGTAGAAATCTATTTCGTGAGCTGTTAGATGTATCGTAGCAGGTGTCACTTTCCAGTTGCCCACACCCTTATCGGCTATTGTCTTCTTGGGGAATCTGAACAGGCAACTTTATTAGTTGTGCTCTCAGCGACCTGGGAGCGTAGTCGTAAAATCCAAAGGATGGCTGCTTGAGCCGGTTACACACTATGTTTTTGTGGCAAGTTTTCGATGTGTTGACCTTGAACTTCAGAAGGCCTTACTACCAGAGACGTAGAGCTCTGGAGTAAGGTGAGACACGACATTTTTGGTGCCGATTTCTTCTAACCTCTTCCTTCCATTGTGAGTAAGAAGTATCGCTGTAGGTCGTCAACCACATCTTACTGCTGACACACTTCTATATAATCAGTGGCACGACTCTGCCCTCATACTTTATATTATTGCCTTTAGTTTTGCCGTTCGTCAACCGATCTATCTGGCATAGTACACTCTGAAGTAAAACGTTTTTCAGACAAGACATCTTTATTTGGTTATCACAATCTTCAAAGTCGACCACTAAGTCATAGTAGCAACTACGGTCGGATTAGTTATGGTAAACTATTTTTAAAACTGGATTAATTTTTTTAAACACACAATTATAATGTTTCCTGCTTTTTGTTCAGATATTCTAGTTTAGCCTGTGAAATTCTAACAAATGATATCAATGAAATACTAGATGGAATAATTGAATTAACCGAATCAACAACTGATCAACATACCCCTAATGAATCACATAATAATGGTAGTAATAACAGCAATAATCATAATAATCACATGTTAGAATCCAATCAGATAAAGTCTATACCAATACCATCCTCCTTCTCTTCACCTTTACCATCATCTTCAATGATTATCAATGATCATAGTTTGACAGAGATCAATAATAATAATAATGATCAAAGTTGTTATGATATGTTTATAGTTGGCAATAATTCATCGGAACTACACCAAATCGATCATTATTCCAATGTCCATGATGATGATGGTACCAATCATTTATCATCTTCGATGTCTATTATCAATGAATCATCATCTATTATCAATGGTCATAATAGTAGTCAATTATTTGACAACAATAATCATAATAATTCAGTAAATGATTTAAATGAAATCTTATCATCTAGTTTAAAACTTTCTCCACCAATGTCATTGTCAACACCTCATTCGTCTACAATCACAAAAATAACTAAATCAAATGAGGCTATTCAAGTTGATTCATCAATGACTACATGTCGACGACGTTTAGATTTATTATTGAATTTTTTTCATTATTCTAATCAACCAGTTAATCCATTATCAGCTAGTTTTGTTTCACGTTTATTAATACATTTAACATTACATCGTGGAAATATTGTAAGTGTTCATTTTGTTCATTTGTTATATGATTTTATTCATTTTTCTATTTTGTTTTTTTTTGTAGTAGTCAGTCAATCAACTACAATGTAGGATCAGGTATATAAATAGGCATCGGTTCAAGTTGCCATACCTCATTAGCACAACATGATCAACATCGGATTTATAAAAGTAGTTAATTCAGTGGTCGTAATATGTGAAAGAAAGATTGTATATAGTACAGGAAGAAAGAATTAGTTCGTAGAAATCAAGATATAAAGCAATTTTAATCTCATAGTTTAAGGGAAGATAGAAAGTGTATACACCGACACCGTTGTGATCGATTCTGAGTTATGTCACTCAGAGGCTAAATGGCTTTTTTGTAGCCTTAATGGTGATCAATTCTAACATTAAATTATAATTGATTCCATATTTTCGATAAAATATACTTGGTTTATGTAACATATTGGATTGATAAATTTAAGAGACTTTTACCGAATTGCTTGAAAATCACTGACAAATAACATAAATTTATCAACTCTTTATTGTACTCTAGATTTTCAACTCTCATATTATTTCATACATTTCATCATTTCATTTTGTTTATTCTTTTCGAATTATATCCGGTTCAGTGGTCTAGAGGTTAAGCGTTCGCGCGTTCGAATCCCGCTAGGCGGGATCGTGTATGTGCATCCACTGAAGAGTCTCACAATAGGACAAAACGGCCGTCCAGTGCTTTCAGGTTTTCCATGGTGGTCTAGCTTCAATTGACTCATGATCTCAACTAATAAAATTACTATAATATCCACAAAAACCCCTTCTGATATATCCTATGTGTTTAGTTTTTTTTTCCTTTAGTGTTATTAGTTTCCGATATGGAGATGTATTTAAATATACTGGTTGGATTACTCAAACGATCTAAACTTACAGACAAAACTCTTGAATGCACAAACTTAACATGAGACTTAATATTTAACATAACTTAATTACCGATTAGTGGTTTATGATTTGATCTTCGCTATTTGTTTGAGGGTATGTTTGTCTGTCAGCCTTTGGGCATAGTGCCCAGTTGTTCATGAAACATGTTTTGTAGAGGTAGAAGACGTGTATTAGCTACTACTATTTGGGCGTCTATGTCTTTACAGCATTGCAGTGTGTGATAAGGAAGTAAGAAACCTAAAGTTCAGCGTAAATGCCCTGGTACGGTCGAGAGTCGGGCGAATCAGCTTTCCCTCTTCGAAATGCTCTCACATAGCCACGTGCATACAACCACTGTCAGGGAAGTCCTACTCAATGCATTCTTGCGGAGGGGGTGGTTTTCACAAAATTGAGAGGACGAGAAGCAAATACCCGGCGTTTTAACCGGGTTGGTGGACACGGAGAGACCTCGTTGGGGAGTTGGAAAACCCTGATTCCAAACCAATGGTGCACTGGGCTTCAGCGTCCTGAAGGAACAAATGGCCTATGAACCAATCGTTTGTCACTGGCTACCGTGCGACTGCATCTCCTTACGATCCTCCACTGCCTTGTGGATCAGACCTTTAGGTCGAAGGTTCTGGGTGTGGCCCCCTAAGAAAACCAACTTATTCGGTCTGGGCACCAGGACAGTATCTTAGCCCTCACACAAATCGAATAATTTATGTGGCGCATATCTATTTGGTGTCTCCTTGTACCAATGTTTATATGTTTAAATAAATAAATAAATATCTTCACCAACTAAAGTGTCTAAATATGTAGCGCTTAAGTTAAACCATCATAAATATTTTTATCTTTCAACCGGAATAACTATGTTTCTGTTACAGATTATACCTTATTTACGATCATCAAATGAATTTCTTGATCAGTTATTCTTATCTTTGGATTCTTCCTCTGTGGCCGATTTAATTATACAATTATCTCAACAAGAAACAAAACAACAACATATTATTTTTGAAGTAAGCATTGAAGTTTTCTATTCTGTTCACATTGTACTAATTGTGTAAACAAATAATACCAATAATCATTCAAATATCTTTTACAGAAACTTATTTATTGTGTATAGTCAACATTTCACAAGAATTAATAATCTCTTCCATTGATTTATCACTGAGTAGTAACCGATATCAGATTTTTCTGTTGATAAATGTTGATCAGATTCTCTCTGTCAATTGGCAATTTTGTCAGTAGTCTAATTCGACATTATGTATGTGTACTGTATTTTGGTGTTAAGTAGCTGGAAGAAGTCAGTAGAAAACCTCAGATCTGGGTTTCATGCTAGTTTTCACTTGTTATTGAAATGATTTTATCCTAAGACTATCAAAAATTGCATGTACAATAAGGCAGTAGTAAGTCTCCTGTAATTTTTTGTTACATTCTTTATAAAAGTAGGATGAATCGTTTCAACTAAAATATATTTATCTCAGTCGTATCATCAATTATACCTTACCTTTTATTTAGAATAAGTGGATTGTAGCTAGCAACAGGATCTAGGATACCTGTTTCTTTGTATTTGGAACTCGTCAGCTGGATGTACCCAAGTCCTATTGTTGATATCCATAATGGGACTCAAACTCACTACCTTTTATAATGTAATGTTATGGGATAAAGTATATGTATGTTGTTGATGTGCGAAAATCATGCTTTCTAGTTTTAAAGTTTTTTGTTGAACTCAAGACCAGCCTCCGTTTTTTATCGCGTGCAATGTTTTTGTGAATGCTTGTACCATTGCTACATTGCATATCATCAGGCACTTAGTTATTATGGTAATGTAATACTCGTCACAGTGTAAATTCTCCGTTCCTGTCGTGTGAAGCGCATCAACTTAAATCTTTTCTTAGATCAATAATGTCTACTATGACTTGTCTACAATGTTTCAGGTTTACGTACTTAGCTTCAAGTTACATTACTCATGTGTAGACTGGTATTACAACATGGCTACCCAAAATGAAATAAACGTCAAATGATTTGAATCTGGGAAAAATAATCCACCGCTTCTTTAACTAATCTTTCTGTACTTCGCTCATAGTGTAGTGAACGAGAACACAGGCGGAACACAAAATTCCAGAATCTCTTAGTAAAATCTAAAAACCATACAGTAAATACTTCATTTGTAAAATGTCAATCAATTGTCTCAGACTTGATTGTTCCTTCGTTTCCACACCAAACATTCTCTGTTCTCGTTCTCTTCTCTTCGATCTTCTTAACCTTCTGCCTCCAAGCATTTCACTTCTGACTGATGATACATACTACTTATATATGTCGATATCAGTAGCACACATCACAATGGTAGCTAAATGGAGTGTGTCAATCAAATTAATTGATTAATGTTGAATATATTGGGATACAATTTACATATTTGTTTTATCTCCAGTGGAATTCAACTGGGTCTGTTGTGAGATAGTAACTCACTGATGATAATGGTGGATATGTCGCTCAATTTCGTGGATTAGTTGAAGTTAGACATTGACACCATTCAATGCCAGCTCAGTGGTCTAGTGGTTAAGCACTCGCGCGCGAGACTGCTAGGTCCTGGACTGGAATCTCGCGAGGTAGAGTCATGGATCCGCACTGTTGAGGAGTCCCATAATAGGAAGAAACGGTCGTCCATGTTTTCCATAGTGGTCTAGCTTCAGTTGACTCATGATCTCAACTATTAAAATTACTATAATATCCACAGAACCTCTTCTAATATTTTTAATTGTTGACTACATTACTTTCCATGTTTTCTCAGTGGTTTAAGACCGATCGACTTGTTGAACGTCTTATTGAAAAATTTGATCCAATCTATTCGTCTGACGTAAGTCTTTTTTCATCACTAATTGTTGCATTACTAGTTGTTTTTCTATAGTAATAAGTGTGATTATTATTATGATTATTTCATGTTGTATCTAGTTGGATTTTTGTCAAAAGAATAGTGTTAATGACATACAAGTTTCAATTCGACATTGGATATCCTAATCTACATACTTTTACACTTTAAACGATTTAAAGTAGATGAATCGAAATAACAAGTTTTCAGTACTTCTGACTAAGTTTAACTAGTTGCAATCAACGTAGAACCTGTCAAAAATATGCGTTGTCCTAGGATCCCATACTAAATCAAGCACCAGAAGATTAATGTGATAAATCATAAAGTAGTCGAAATAATGTATTAGAAATAATAATGACAAAGACTAAACATTGGTGGTATGATTCAAGAAAAAGGCATACTCAAAGGAATACTGGAATTCAAGACTTAAAATCAGACAAAGAGTGATTGGATATTCATTATTTCTACTGATCCTTAGCCATGTCACCCAATATCTCTAACTATTGATCGTGGTTATCGATCTAAATTCAATGATTTGGTCTGTTCTCACTGCATTGATTATGAAATTCTACAATCTGAACAGATACTTGTATGTAGAAGGTCTAACGATGCCTATAAAGAAGACTGGCTACCACTAATGTCAAATTTTGCTAATTTAATCTAACATCATAATGTAAATCATCCATTTGTCGATCATATTCAACTCATTTTGTGACGCTTCATTTCAATATACATGTGCATATTACATAAACAGTTGAACTTATGACTTTAATACAATTGTTTATTGTGTATCAGTAGAACAATGCCTATGTAACGGATTTAGGCAAAACAATCCCTTGGAGTTAACTAGTAGTAATTATCACTAAACTATTCTCATTAACCTTGTTTTTCCTTTACAAGTGAACATACAATTCCAGTAAATACGTTAGTAATATCCAGCCGTTAAGTAAGGTTCGTAAATCTTTTCTTTTCTTTTGAGGATTAACAATACAGTTATTTTGTTTACTGAAATGTAGCTTGGTTATGGGCTGCCAAACTAAAACGTGGCATCAGTGCTTGAAGTCACTAACTTCTAGTCTGAGCCATGTTGGTAGATGCAGACTACTTGGTTGGGGTCGGTGTGACTATCATAACCAATGGTTAGAGACTCTGAGTGATATGGGTCAGAATCGATCACAACGGCGTCGGTGTATACACTTTCTATCTTCCCTTAAACTATAAGATTAAAATCGCTTCATATCTTTCTTTCTATGAACTAATTTCATCCCCTGTATCGTATCCTTATACACAATCTTTCTTTTATGTATTACCACCATTGAATTAACTACTTCTATGAATTTGGTGTTGATCTTGTTGTGCTAATGAGGTATGGCAACTTGGACCGATGCATATATGTGCCTAGTTCTACGTTGTAGCTGACTGACTGAAATGTAGCTTGGTTAATATTAACGTAAACTAAGTATTGACTTCTATCACTTCCTCATCTGTATTAAGTTGTTTTAATTTTTAATTTTTGTTCAATTATGAATCTTTTGATTACATTTAATATTACTATAGAATTATCTAGGTAAGGTATAAATAGATGAACAAGGTGAAACAACTTAGAACCTGGTCGAGTGTCTCCATACTTTGTGTATTAGCACAGGAAGACAGAACTCACTAGATACAGAAATGGGTGTAGGTTTATTTTTTTATTTATTTGAACACCTAAACATTGGCACAAGGTGTCACCAAATACATATGCGCCACATAATAACAGTGTGATCAGTAGTAGTTATCATTTATTTGTGTGAGGACTGTGATACTACCCGGGCGCCCAAACAGAAGCAGGTGGTTTTCCTTGGGGGCCATTCCCTGAACATTTGACGTAAAGATCTAATCCACAAGGTAGCCGGTAACCAACAATTAGTTTAGACGCCATTTGTCCCCTCAGGATACTGGAGCCGATGTACACCATTGGATTGTAATCAGGGTTTTCGAACCCCCCTACGCGGACTCTCCATATCCACGAATACGGTTAAAGCGCTGAACATTGGCTTTTCGCCCTGTCAATTTTGTAAACAACACCTCTGCCGCGAGAAGCTATTGAGTAGGACTTCCTTGACAGTGGTTGTATGCACGTGAAGATGTGAGAGGATTTCGAGAGGGATAGCTCACTCTCGACCGTACTAGGGCATTTGGGGGCATAAATAGTCTGAAATAGGAACAATAACCAACAGTTTAATAATCTGATTTTATTGTGTTTATTATGAGATCTCATTGGCCTAGTTTGGACTAGATGCCATATAAACTGTTGGCTGAACACCACTGATATGTTTCGAGTTAGAATAAAACAGCTGTTTTATACTCCATATCTTCTTTGCAAATCAGTGGTTGACTGGTTTAAGTAGTTGACTCGTATTAATACTCATTGGAATCTTAAACATTTTTAAACATTGATTTTATGATGACTCCCAATAAGTTTCTTTCTGTTTTTACTGCCTACAGTTTAGACAAAACGATCATTTTATCAATAAATAAGAACATAGGTTCCATTTTTCTTACTAGTTCATTCAGTTATTTATTCTCACTACTCTATATTATCATTTTTAATAATTAGGCACATGAATCGGCAGCTCATTGTCTAATTGAACTCATCACTGTTCTACGCAATTATTTAGTGAATAATCCTCCAAATTCAGATAATAGTGATATGATAGTGAATTCAATGACAACTGCAACCACCACTACTAATAATGTTGGCGGTAGTAGTATATTTGGATCACCGTTAAATAGTACATATTCCAGTTTATTTGATAAAGATGAAGAAACGTATAAAGCAGCTGAAAATTTACTAAATGTATTAGAAAGGTAAGTAAAGCATTAAATTTCATTCTTCTCATTTTACACTATACAGCAAGTTTAGTGTTGTTCGTTAATCCATATACTGAAGATCGAATGACATTGGTGTTGAGGTTCATCTGTCTATTCCATTAAAATATTAGATTCCTCCTTGCTTCATTGTAAACATTTTCAATTAAATCTGTTGGCACAATCATCCCAATGATTAAGTATAAATTCCTTCGATGATTAAGGGCTGTAAAATCTATGCCTAATTCTCAATTACTAAAGTACAGATCAAATCCCAGCTCAAATACTTTCGTTTTGACAAAACTTGTAGTTATTTACTGGCTCGTGAAGTCATCAACTTTTGGATTAGTCTCGGTTGTACGTACAGACTAACTTGGTTGGATTCCGTACGATAACCTTAACCAATTGTTGGAGTTGTTGAGTGACATGGCTTGCACAACAGCAAAAATTCATTTCCTATTCACCTTTTGCTAGATCTTGAGTTTTCAAACTACCTTATCTTTTTGTCCCGTAAATTCACTATCTTCTCGAGTCATCTAGTCTATGGTTAGTGTTTCATACGACCACTCTGGGATTTAGTTTAATAATTCCATCTTTTTGTGCTGATATAGTAGTATAGCAACTTGAACCGATGCACAAATCAACCAGGTTCTACGTTTCTGTTAACTGATTGGTTGAAATATCCTTCTATCTATTTATGTTGTAACAACCGACAGCTACTTGAAATTTACGACCATGGTTTTGGTCAACGCACTAAACAAGTATTCTCCACTATTCGTATTTTAGTACAGTTCAAAACGTAAGTTTCATCTCATCTTGATATTACCAGTAGAATAGTTGTGAATGTAAGAATACACGTTAATCATTAATTTGCCGTAAATTAATAGTAATAACTCCCTAGTTCCGCTTCGATGCCTGAATACTACAGATTCTTTTGTTCTATTCCTGACTGCTTTAAAAAACAGGTCTTTCAAGGAAGATTTATTGGTAGAGCCCAATAAAGATTGATTTCGAGAGTCATTCCATCTTTTATCTCTTCATAAGCTCATGTGTGGCGCACTTACATTTGATGCCTCCTTGTACCAGTATTAATGTTTTCAAACAAGCACTTCGTAGATATCCAAGTTCAATTCAACCCCAATTTCTTATCGTCCTTGAATTACTTCCATGTTGACTCATAGATAATATAAATTGCAAGTGTGATTGAATAAGTTATCACTATTTGTTTGGTTTCAGTGTTGTTATCATTTAAAATTGGTTCAGTAGCTTTATGTTTAAATAAACCGCTTTACTCAGCCAAATAGGCTGAGGGTACGGACCGCACACTGTGCTTACTTCGTTTTAAATGGTTAGATAAAGCTTATTTACTCTCACTCGAATTTCGTGATATAAGCCCGAACCCATACATTTTTACGTGGTAATTTATTATTATTAGGGTCTTGTTTAGTTTAGTTTAGACCATGGATTTTAGTTAGTCAATCACTAAAAACCAGACACGGCCGGACAGCTGTTTCGTCCTAGTATGCAACTCCATGGGAGTACACGTCCACGACTTTCCATCTAGGAATCGCATTCAGCTCCTTCAGGTCTCACAACGAACCATTAACCTTTCGGTTGCTAATTTGATTTTCAGTGGTTTGCATTTGTAACTCCAATAGATTCTCCATACTGCGCAACAACCTCTCAATGCCCTTAATTTGTAACTGTCTCACATCCCACTCGGTTAGACTGATCACGGCTTTTTACTAGAACACCAGTACTTCTTAGTTTTCAGTCTATGATGTAACCCATAAAAGTAACACACTTCTATTATCCAATATCAGTCAAACCTATTGATTTAATGCCACTATGAAAAGTTGTTCAAAAAGGAAATATTTCCTTGATAAATTTGTTTCCCCGCCCCCCAAATATACTTATAATTATCAAATAGATAAATAAAAGTAAATTCTTGTGGTATATACTGAGCACGATGTAAGATTAAGGACTTCAATATGAGTGGCATAATTTCGAGATTACCTTTTAGTGCTTAAGAAATGACTGATGGTCTAATTCTTAATACATTCACATAGTATTTGTATGTGTTGCGTTAGTTACTTTGGGTAGCAGAAATCATCATTTTGTAAGGAAAAGCTCTGAGATATGTGTTAGCATTTAAATTAACCGGTATTTTCAGCTGATCTTTTTTGTATTTTGTGACTTGAGCTACAAAATGTATTTCACTCCAACAATTTAATGTATAGCGGTTACTCAGTAGTTAAAACATTCAACTTTTGATTATTAAGTCTCAGGTTTGTACTGTGTTCTTCCTAATTTCATTTTCGGTAACTACTGGGTAGTAATTTTATCCCTCACACTTAGTATAACTCAAAACCAAGTACATAAATCTGTACTTAGTAAATGCGTTAATAAATAAAGATCAATAACCTAGTATTGTCCAATATCATTAATATTGATACATATTTGAGTAGCTCCGATATTGGCATATAAACATGTGTTTACCTTGAACCTATTTAGGGAATTGTTTATTATATCATGTGTATGTAGTAAAGTTAAAAGCTCGTCAATTCTCTATTTATAGTTTTCTAACTAATTCAAACTGAATAACTTTTGAAATACTTACTTACGCCTATTACTCCTTGTGGAGGAGCATAGGCCGCCCATCAGAACTCTCCATCCAACCCTGTCTTGGGTAATCCTTTCCAGCTCTTTTCAGTTATTGTTTATCCAAAACGTGGCATCAGTGCTTGAAGACACTAACTTCTAGTCTGAGCCATGTTGGTAGATGCAGAATAATTGGTTGGGGTCCGCGTGACTGTCGTAGTTAGTGGTTGGAGACTCTTGGTGAGATGGCTAAGAATCGATCACAATGGCGTAGGTGTATATACTGTCTGTCTTCCCTTAAACTAAGAGATTAAAATCACTTCATATCTTTCTTTCTACGAACCAATTCTTTCTTCTTGTACTATATCTCTATATGCAATCTTTCTCTCATATATTACCACCTTTGACCTAACCACTGCTATGTATCCGGTGTTCATCTCGTTGTACTGATGGGGTATGGCAACCTGGACCGATGCACATATGTGCCTGGTCCTACGTTGTAGCTTACTGACTGACTGACTTTTCATATCTGCTTCTATTTGAGGAACCGGTTGTATTAAGTAGGAACATTTCAATCTAAGGTTATAGAGATCATGAATGGATCAATGTTAAAACACCATCGAGAACCTGGAAGCACTGGACGGCCGGTTCATCCTAGTATGGGACTCCTCAGGAGTACGCATTCACGATCCCGTACTTGGGAAACGAACCCATGACCTTCGATCTGGTGTAAGACAGTTACTCACTGAAGACAATGGTGGACGGTCGCGCAATATTGTGGATTGGTTGAAGCTAGACATTAAGACCGTTAGATGCCGGCTCAATAGTCTAAAGGTTAAGCTTTCGCACGCGAGACCGAATATCTTGAGTTTGAGCCCCACATGTGGGATCGTGAATGTATGTGTCCCACCGAACGGACATCCAGTACTTCCAGGTTTTCAATGTTGGTCTAACATTCTTTAAGTTGTCTGAAAAATATTTACAACATAAATAAGTATCTGTTTGCAAAGTCTGAAATTTCATTTACGTTATTATTTATTATTTACATATATATAACTGTGATGTTATATATATATGCATAATTAGTTGTCATTTAGACAAGATGTAAACACAATGTAATTGTTTATTGCATAACTTTTTGTTTACAACGATTGACCTTGGAGAAAATGATAAATAATCAGTTCACTTAGCATGTACCTTTTTCATGAATTTTATTTGATTCTTTGCTCATTTAATGAATCCACTGTCAAGGTCAAACTCATATAACTGCGGTACATATGTGTGTATGTGTTGAATGTTATAATTACTCTTTAACTAGAGGTAGCTGGTTCATTATATGTATCTATCGGCACAGAAATTGATTGAGTTCATCGGATTAACTAATTCTAAACAGTTATGGTAAAATGATGTAAATAGCAATTGAATGAAGGTGAATAACCACGTTGAAATAGAATGTAAGACAATAAACTATTCTACAATCTAAATGAAGTAAATGTTATGTAGGATCATTAGTTCAAGAGACTGATATCACATTGGTTGTTAACAAACACGAAGATGAAATTATGCATGTGGCATAAGCGATATCCTATGTTCAGTGAATATTCTTCTTTCAATATAAACAGAACTGACCATCATTAGTGAGTAAATTTGTAGCTAATGATGATAAATCTTTTACCTCAGCATCTGTGGTGATAGAAAAGATTAGGCACCAAAGATATGAATTGGCGAAAATTTAATGTAATTTAGAATCTCAGGATTTGATGGAAAACAAAAAACGGATGCACCTGCTCCATCGCAAACTGTTTTGAGCCATATCTCTAACCATTGGTTACAATGATCACGCGGACCCTAACCAAGGTAGTCTACATCTATCAACATGGTCTAATCCAGTTGTCAGTCTTCATGAACTGATGCTATATTTTGATTTGGCCACCCCTTCCAGCCTAATCCTGTATCAGAAAACATCGCCCGTTGAGGTAGGCGGTGGATGGACATTCATTACACATGTCCTAACCACTTCAGTAGATGAAGATTTACTACCTCATCAATTGATTTGCCATCTTTCCCTAGTACTCTATTACTACCCCAGACATTACTTAAACCGTGGTCCCAAAATACATAAGCAATGCTCCAACTTCTAATTATCCACCTTTAAACTCTAGTCCCGAAGAATTAACCCCAAGTATGATTGCTATGTATTCTGAAGAAGTTGACCAGTCTTCTCATATTGTCATTTACCATATCACGTCCATCTTGTGAATTGATTTCCTTGCATACCTATCCTGCAATATACATTTTTTTTAATAATCAAATACTCTGCTTTTGAAATGATTTAAAAGATTTGTCATTCAGATGATTGGTACTTGAAGTACTTTGTTTGAAAGAACTAAGAGAACATC